GCCGACTGGAATGTGCAATCATGCATGAGCAAGAGCTTCTACTGGAAATCAGGGCAATCAGTACCAGCAACTAATCCATCACGTGCTGGGATTTGTAGTTGACCTGAAAAATTACAACACAATGCTTGAGTTTGAAGCTGAAGAAGGTTACATGTGGATTGGCTTTCACTAAGTGTGAGCAAATGGGCAAATTTGGCTCCTTCAGTGGCTTCAAAATTAGCTGATTGTAAATGTTTCAGCAATAAGCTTTTTTATAATTCGTATGGCAGTGATATAGGAGTGTCCGGGAACACCGAAGTCTTCAATAGGGAATATGCATCCTTTCCGAAGACCGTTCTTCGGTGTTGTCAGCTTTCTGTTCCCCACTGCGTAATACACCGAATCCCGAATCGATCGACGTTACTTTCGATTTCATGTGGGCAGGCATGAAGGTTCGGGTTCTCTAAATTACAGGAATCCAGTTGTTCAAAACGAGCGCGACGCCAGTTAGCACTGGTATGCCTATCGAAAGCCGCGCAGTAAGAGCCCAACACAACCCCAGAACTGGGAATGAAATCAGGACACAGCACTCAACAACGAAATCGAATTGTAATAAGCGGAAAGTGGGAATGTACCAGAACATCATGTTCAACATCACAAACGAGTTCATAGTCCATGAACAATCACCACACCGTTGGTGACGTACGCATTTGTGGACAGCATTAGTCGATACCTTTTGCATTACAAGTAGTCTCAGCATTATTTCAAGCTCGATGAACATTAGGACATCCGAAAACACTTTTTCTGCTTAATGCATATCGGCGCTGATCAAACCATGATGTTAAACTTGGCTTGTTTTGCATTCACGGCAGTTTTACTTCGTCAAGGCGACTTAAGGCATGAAATTTTGGTAGACATACTCGACCGGAAATCCCAAGATTCTCTCTGCTGGTTTGAAACCACTAACATCAGCGGACAATAACAATGTTTATTCTGTAACAAGGTTATAATCCATTTGTGATTGTTGACGCGTGTACTGTGGTAATGGTGTATGGAGAAGTACCATTCCACCCATTTGTATTGTAATGCACAGCAAAAAGAGCCTTCTCACAGTATTCCTACTATCGGTTTCATTTCGATTACCGTCAAGAATTGCCAACTGACTCAAACCCATAATCAAAAGCACTCATGTAATGAAACAAATCGTTGATCTGAACATAACCAATGGAATATAGTTTTGTACATTCCCAATATCATGCCAAAAGAAATAGAGATTATTCGATCCACCCAAAATAACATCTTTATCGTCACCATGTTTTCCGCGTGCATGACGATTGATTCACTTCTTTGTCTGCAACAATGATGCGCATATCGATCGAGCATTATCGATTGGTGTCCTATTGCAGCCGATGGAGGTGTAGGTCATACATTCTATTAGAAAATCATTTGACGCAATGGCTCAAACGTTGATCGCGCATGATCCGTTGGTATCAGCGTAATACGGCTCGATATGACTTTTCAGATGATGGACGAATATACACAAACGCGTACGTGTACTAGCCAGGTGAACAGTCAATAATTGTTACGCGAATTGCTCTGTGTGATCCAGGCACGTCTCAAAATCGTCACTCCAGCAATTCAACGGGAAGTTGAGACGTCTGTGCTGCCTGGTCATCATCCAGACATCGCCGAGAGGCTTGGAAAATACATGATCCTGGCAGCTACGATAAGGTCAACGAGACCGCTTGAAATGATGCTCAGACAACTTGAAATGATACCGAAAATCTTGCAATGATATGTGGGCAAATTGAATCGTAAAGGTATAAGCAATAAACTAGGGTTCTCTTCCATGCCCTTTTGCAACCTACGATGCAATAAATCTTTTGTTATATGGCCTAGCACATGTATTGGATAACTCTCGCATACGTTGCTCCCACTGAACGCGCAATATTACTGCTCGATGTACACAAACATGCGCACATATAGACATACAAGCACAACACATAACTTTCCCCATTTGTGCGTTACACGGCGGCCCTTTGATTGACCGCTTCCTGAAAACTGTATCTTTCCGTATTCAATAAAAGGAACTAAAATGAAAAATAAGATATTCCTCAAATGAAACCTTGATTACATCGACCAATCAGACTGCACCACGTGTCTGTTTGTTGTTGAATTACCTACTGTTGATGACTTGTGCGAGAAGTACCGGTCGATGACATGTTGCCTAATTGAAAGATTTTACTTGTGTGCATATTACGAATTCTGTTGAATACAACACCCTGTTTCCTCAGACGAGCTACTTCAAATCTTGAGGGGACTCAAGGTGAACTCATGATCCTGGTCGATTAACACCTTATTTGTTATCAGTGCCCGTCTATCAGCTTGCTACAACTATTGCTAAATTGATAACCGTGTTTGATATCCGGAACGATCCCCGATTTTCGGAGCATGGCCCAGATGAGACCAATCTCAAAGAAGAGCACGGGAAAGTACCACCCGATGGTCTACACATCTGTTGCTGAAAGCTTTTGGAGAATTGGTTTGCTGCAACGAAAGATAGCTCATGATCCTTTAAAATTTCCGTTTAAATCCAATCTGTCCACACCAGACGCGGTTGCCCATATCTTTCACTCTGTTGTGTCCGTATTAGACGAAGGTGCAGGGACCGCTGGTTTGATCCTTCTTGATTATTGCCAACTCCTCCGGTTCTCTCGACTGAACAGTACCTATCGGACGTCGTTCTGAGTGTGGTCGACACCTGAAGTTTTAAATGTTCTGACTGTTTCTCCTATAGCACCCGATTCGCTTCATTTACTACCACGCAGTCTTCTTCTGTTAACCTTGATGCCGGTGTTTTTGTCCCGATTCCTTTTTCTATGTACATAGAGAATCCATCCATTCCCAGTAACTTTATTGTTTGCGAGTGGGCTGATGATGTTGTGATTGGTTGTCCATCCCCTAGTGCAGACAGTTTTCGGCTTCTTCAGGACCGCCTTATTGAACTTCGCGATTATTCTGGATTGCGTCAACTACGGCGAGTCATGACGAGCTTCTGAACGGATACCGTAACTCACAAACAACTAAGTTACTACTGATCAAACCAGAAGATTTATGGTTGGGGCAGAAATGTATTGGAGTATCGTGGCACGGGAAATGTACCGATACGTGCTAACAAGAATTTGCGTTAAGGCACGAAGGCAACAAGGACCAGTAAGCGCGATCACGTGCAAACCAGTCGAAGGAGAAAGAAAAGTGAAATTCCTCACCAATTCCCGTAATGTGCGAATTAGACTGAACTGAAGGATGCAGTAGTTGGCAATCGTGTAAAACAAATGTCACAGTGAAATGGTAGTGAGAGGATAAAGATATGAACGTAGAGTTAGACGGTAGAGGAAAACTGATGTGCGGCAAATGACTGATATTGTCCGGATTTCACCGTACAATCGGTCACACGATAGGCCTAAGTCCCGATCTCTCGTACGTAACACCAAGAAGTGTATTGACGTTCCCCTTAGTCCTAAAACCGACCCCCTCCACTATCTTTCATTGGTAAGTATTCTCGTCATCCTTATAGTTCTTAACCATCCCATCCCCGACTAGGACATCTGAAATAGCTCGGTATCACACTGGCTCATAATCTGTCCTGGTCTGTGCATGTCATCAACGCTTTTACAAAAGTTCGAAAACTCTCTTTTTATGCACAAATGCTCAAGGACCTGGTAGTCCCATACAATCTTACTACTAAATTCGTGATTGCTTGCATCCTCTCAATATTTATCCCTGATCAAAACGAGGAAGATTTCACTTTGTTTTCTATATCCCCCAAGCTTTTGTCCGACTACAGTGGAACTGTAGTTGTGATTAAGCTTCTTTTACTGTCAAGCATCTCAACGCGTGCAACACATTTATCGGTAGGACAACACGTGATCAAAGACACCATCTGAATCACGACAGCCGTTTCAAGTTTAATTCCATTTTGCGCTTACTTTCATACACGGAAAAAATTCAACCCCATACATAGCTCAGCACTTGGGGAAAGAGTCATTCACTAATTTATTTGTTTTACTAGCATTGAATGTATTTTCTACCATTTATTATTGATCACAAATTTTTGTTATATATCCACTGTTTAAGTTCATAAATTGCTGAAAATTCACGCTTCGGGTGCATATATTGCTTCTTGACTTGAAAAACATTGGATTCCATGTCGAACTAGTCCCTGGAAGCTTCTGTGAACCAATTTAGGTGACATTCTCTATGTGTGTTGTATGGCAGCCCTGTTTGATTGGCCGCTTCCCTCTTCCTGAAAATGTATCAATGTGTATCCGATAAAAAAGGAAGTAAAAATGGAAAAGAGAAAAGAGTACAAGCAAAGCACACCATAGAAATTTAGATAATCTTGTTTCGGGAATTGATCACAGGCATTGTTAATAATCTTAGGAGTGGCTTTCACCACTAGTTAAATGCATGAATAAGCGATGGAAATATTTGTGATGGCTGACAAGGAGTAACGGAATGATGTTACGTTCTGTTTGGAACTCGTCAGCACTACATCCCTTCCGTGTTCATATCAGCACTCGGGCCGCCGTGTACCTCAGGGATAAGGGTTGATTACTATATTATTATCGTACAGTGAAATACAGAAAAGCGAACTTCACTGATCTTTGCCAAACTCGCAATGCATACACATTGGGGTTTGATGGACGGGTACTACTAGGATGTCCAGCCACTAAGCAGAAAGATCAGGGTTTCAAATCCCAAACACAAGATAAGCGATTAGACATTCCACAGAAAACGACTGTTCAGTGTTCTAGCAGTCGAAATGATGCTTAACTTTTTGAAGTGAATACCAATTCATTTTGTATGCATATAAAACAATAGGCAAAGAAGGAACGAATATATTTTTGATGAAAAAAGATCAATATCATTTGATCACAGATTCCCTGATCCAAGTTGATTGCCAAAATATAACTAATAAATCGAATGCGACGTGGAGCGAGTGATCCCAGGGGAAATGATCACGAGGGAATACGTTCGCGCAGAGCACGAAAGGCACGTTCGACCTGTGTTTGTGAGCATTCCGGTTCCCATTCTGTACTGAGAACGACGTGTGCATGACCTACTGGTCCCACACCCAGATCTATTTGGCCGGCACACCACCAGTCCATTCCTCCGGTGGCCTCGGCGATCGCTGCCGCTTGCCGTTCGAGTCTGTCCTCGGCCACGTTTGGCTCCAAATTCATACGTTCACATATTCGGCGTTTGGCTTCATCTCGAGGCAGTATGGCAATCCACACCTGGTATACAAAGTATAGACAAATCCAAAAAAAGAGAGACTTGTGAGAGGGCTACAAAGCTCGTGACACCGAGTAACACGTGAACCATACAAGCCGTAGTCTAGGATGGCACTTTCGTCGGTAATGAAAATTGTATTGATAAATATAAATGTAAATCGATACGGAATTAGTTGCGGATACATTGTTTGTATGAACGGAGACTTCTTTCTCAAAGTCAAAATGTGAGTTAATTCAATAAACTTGTAGTTTTTTAGTTTCTGAGTAAACGTGCTGAGTTGATCGCTAGATATAGGGATAAATTTAAGGACAGTTTACGCTAGATGTGATATAACCTTATACGTAATGGATGTGCCGGAAGGGAGTTTATTTTCTGCTAGGTAGTGGTCCAGACCATGATAGGCTGCCAAACGATCGGTTGAGGCAACTCAACGATGGTCAACGACTGAAAATCCGGTAGCGACGAGTTCGATGAGCGCACTTCCGTGATAAAACCTCCTAATCCTCAGGTAGAGAAAGAGATTACAAGAAGTGAATAACCCGTGTTTTGAGTATCGAGATCCAAACGCGCCATAAACAATCGAAGGGTTAGAGATCACACGTGCATTTTGTACGAACACAGACGTAATGGCCACAAGGTAGGCTTGACGGCACTGCAACGGGCTCGAGTGCTAGCCATGTAGTCTCAAAAGAAGACAGAATCTGGCGTACGGAAATGGAACACTGAATGCGATTGTATGCAACTGGGTAACATCCATCACGGCGAGCCAAGCTGAATTTATGATAATCAATATTTAGGGCACGAGTAGTTAATACCTACCCAGTTCAAGATGAAGCTTAGCTGTTTCCAGTGTTGTAACTCGAGTCACCGACCAAAGAATGACTGATTTATCATCGCCTATTGTGACAAA